GATTCTGTGATATTGAGGAAAAAATTTAACCACATCTGACCTAAAAACCAAGAACACAAGAACAATTTGGAGATACTTTACCCCCTTTGCCGTCGGACACCAGACACCGTTGCTCTTCCCTTAGTGTGTAACAGAGGGTGGGTGGATCAACCACATTTTGGGAATTAAAATTAATTTTAATTATTATTAAAATTAATTTTAATTATTTGCTGTTTCATTGAGCTCAAACTTGATCCAACCTCATGAGCCCCTGGTTTCTCTCAGTGTCCCACCCTGTCCCCACACTACAAACTGCCTGGCCAGGACCCATGGGTGACCCAGCAGGGACACGTGGCCCAACACATACCCATGCACCAAAATGCTCTTTTTTTCCCCCAAACCAGACAACTGGCAGGGGGGGATCCCCATCTGGTTATTTCCCCTCCCCACATGCTTCTGAGCACAGCTGGAGTTCTCTCCACAGTCTTGCACACCCAAACTCAGCTCATTAACTGTTTTTAACGAGTTATAAAATGATAGATGCAAACACAGTAATAAGAAATAAAAAATTACCATGGATCCACATTATTGTTTTTTAAACTGTCACTAGAAAAATATTCTAATTATCAAAATAATCTGCATGTAAGCACAGAATAACTACAGAATAATTTTCAGAAGAATTTTCAGAATAAGACAGAATAATTTTCTGTCAGTCTTGTAGGTCGATTTGTTAAAGCTTGTTAAACAAATATGTAATTTCTCAATGTGCATCAATAGCACGTATAGAATTTAATACAGAAATGAGGAATATGCAGCCTAAGACAGCAAATTACGAGAGGTTAATAAATTCTGTAACTATTGGTGGAGAAATGCACAGTTACAGCAGGTTGTAATTCAACCTCTGAACCCCCACGTTTGGAGCCAGCTGAAGTCAGCGTTATTTTCAATCCCTTCAAAGTTTTCTGTTAATATGCAATGTTTGTATAAATATACTAGGAAAGTTTATATATATATATGTATATACACACACACAGACACACACACACAGACACACACACACACACAGAAAGACTCTTTTATTATGTGTATATATATATATAAAATCACTTACTTGATGGAAAGGCTCTCCAATTATATCTGCATAACCACAATCTGGATAGAATTTGGCAATTTCCACCTCCTCCCCGCCCCCCAACTTTAAAAATGAATTTTAAAAAGAGCCAAATTTTGACTCCCTCCACAAAACATAATAGTGACTTGAAGGGATGGAACCATGCCTCCAGCTCAGCACACAGCCAGGGTAGAGTTAAAAAGAAAACCCCCCAAACTTGCAGCTTTTGCTTCTCCTGACTGGTTGTTTTGTTTTTTGTTTTTTTTTTTTTTATATACTAACATAGATTTTTAATTAGAGAAGAAAATGCAGAGAAGCAGAATCCAAGCTGAAAATTCAGCTTTTTCAACTCCTTTGAAAAAACAGGAAAATAAATCTGCAGATCTCTGAGGGTTGACACTTTAGGTTTGACATTTAAAAACCCCTGTCCAGGGATGCAGCTGTAGGGCAGGCTGCAGGCACGGCTCCATGGACTTCACCAACACTTGCTACAATAATTTTCCAAGGTAGTTTTTTGGTAAATAATGCACTTTTAAATGTGTCTGTGTATAAACACACGCTACCAGCACAGCTACGCCCCACCCCTCATGTACAGCATTAAAAAACAAAACAACATGTCAAATCAATGATGTTGAATCAGGTTTCTACACTTTTGCCTTTGCTGTGTCAGCAAAACTCAGGCAACTTTGGTTCTTTTTTGTGTGATTTGAACAGTGACCACAGACTGACTCCAGGAGAGGAGAAGACCCCCCCCAGCTCACCCCACCGCAGGGACGCCGGCGCGGTGCTCGTGGGCTTGACAAAGACCCCCCCCCCCCAACCCATTTGGGACACCCCATTCCCTTTGGAGAAGAAAGAACTGAACTCAGTTTGAAACCTCGCTTCCTAACGCAGAGAGGGAAGAGAAGAAATGCTTTTAGAAAGCTTAAGAATGATCCTTTATAGGCTTGGTAAAAAGAAGGGCCACTCTCACCCAGGTAAGATCTGGTACCTTACAGAGTATTTGCCGATACGCCCGCCGGCGGCTGGCTTTGCCCAAGGGGGGGCTGCAGAGGAGCCCCCACTCTCCTATAACAAAATGCAGG